TGTTATTAAATGATTATAACTTTTACATTTGTGTAGCAATATGTTCACATATTGCCTGTTTTGGTTTAAGAAAGAAACAAACAGTGGAATCTGCAAAAAGTAAGAGTGAAGACGTTACAGATGCTCCATGGATCAAACACTACATATAACCCTGATGTAAACACATACTTGTAGTAAAAAAAATGCTTCAGCTGCTACACTAATTGTTAAGTAACTCAAATCCAGTAACACTGCAGAAACAACAAACTTAGATATTAAAAAAACAGAAAGCAACACATGGTCAGCTTGTTGAGTTTATGTATTTCAAAGGAGCAAACATCCAACATTGTTTAAACATTTCATGTTCAGTATATGGGCAATGCAAAACAAGCCAACTGAGATTTGATCACACAAATACTGCTGCACACAAATCTTAGCTAATTTGGTTTCTAACATGAAAACCTCCATATATATCAGTACTTTATTCTGGTGATGAGATCAAGAGCTGGGTATAATGAACAACTGCACAAGTAGCACATATTCACTGCAGAGATGTTGGTATAGAGCTTATCTGGTACATGAAAGCTTCACCTTCATTCAGACGTTATAAGCGTTAAGCATGGACTTGGTAGTTCATTCATAACTTTCTAAGGACAAATAAGCTGCCTCTCTGTAGTTCTCATCCTTTACACATGCATTAATCAACAGTTATTCAAAAACACAAACTGCTTAGTGTTTTAATTGGATTTTATGTGATAGACCTATGTAGGGATTAGATATGTAACTGTAATTAAAGAAGGATAAAAAAAAACTGTAATGTTTGGTTTGTATCAGTATTTTGCCCATAACCTGTTAACTGGCCACTCCAAACTCCCTCAAAACACCTGCAAAAACACACCTTCAGTCAGCTGCTTTTCTTTAACCATTGGGAGGGTCTCAGCTGCCATATCAAACTGTTATAATGATGACCTCAAACAGGCTTAAATTGGAAAGCAACAAGACATTTTTTAAAAGATGTGTCGACAACTATCCAAGAATCTTTGTCAATTCTGTTGGCTCTCACCAGAGCAACTCTAGCTATTCCTTTGTTCTCCTGGATTGTTGGAACTCTTTGCTGAGCTTGGGTTCCAACAATCCAGAACAACAAAGGGCTAGCTCTTTGATTAGCATCTGACTTTGAATGTGTGCAGGAGGTCGGCCCTCCATGCTGCTTAAAGACATTGGGACCGTTGCATTTCCGAAGTGTCCGGAGTTGTGAATGTGATTGGTCGTTTTTCAAGATGGCGGGGTCGTAGGGGCGGAAGGTTTGCAAGCAAGTTTGGTTGTGGCCGGTTTGTCGGAAGCATCTTGCTAACCAGTTAGCAACTTAGTGCTAGTAGGTTTCCAATGGGAAATTCCATTGGGACCAAGTACCACTAAATTGGTGACTTAGAAACGACACCGTGAAGGAACGTGAACACTGGGACGGAACTCAATGGGAAAGGAAATTATTCTTATTTCAACCGTTGCGTATATTAGCTGCGACATATGAATCAAGATGCTATGACCGGAATAATGTGATTGACAGATGACCGTTGATATAAAATATGCAGAATTTAGGTGTACAGGCTAATGTATTACTAACTGGCCTGCTTCAGATAACGAAAAACAAAACCCCACAGATTTTAAGACAGGAAATACATGTTTTAGCCAGAATGATTTGACATCTAAATATACTTTCCCGATGACGCTCCAACTAGAGTTTGCTTTGGTGCTAGCAAAAGAATTGACAAAGACTTCTTCATAGCTGTTGAAATTTCTTCAAAAAACTGAAGGAAAGCCTGGTCATCTCCCAATTAAAGCCTGTATTGGTTGCCATGATCTGAATGAAACAATTTAGGCATGCCTGTTATAGTGGTGGACAGTCACCTTATTGTGGCAGTAAGTCCATATTGTGGACATAAGTCCCTCAGATGGGATGTGAGTTATCAGGTTGAATATATAAATTAGATCAAAAGTGAAGACTTTCAAAGTTAATTTCATTAGTTATTGCAGTCAACCTCTATATATCTAAATCTTAAATCTATTTAAATGTCTTACAAATCAAGTCGTTTTGTAAAGGCCTAACAACCTTTTTTTTTGTCTCTTTAAAGGGAGTGTTGGCCTACTGGGTTAGAGCAGTGCTCTGAGAATGTTGCAAGTACCTGGTATGATCCCCACAACCTGCAGTTTGGCTCCCTGAGCATGACCCTTAACACCACACTGCTCCCCAAGAGGATGGGTTAAACGCACAGGTAGATTTCTCCAATGTGAAATCAATAAAGTTCAGTTATTATTAAGACAGAACCCTTAAGAAAGAGCCATGTGGTGACTGAATAAGGTAGAAGGTTATCTTGTTTAATGAGAAAAATGCAAGTGTTAGAATAGACGAAGCTTACTTATTGTTCTAATTAAGTATCATTGAGTAAACTTGAACATTAATGTTGTTTCCATCCATTTGATCGAGCTTGAGCTATTTTGCTAAAAAAAAAAAATTCAGGCATTTCCTTACTTTTACAATTAGGCATTACTTTAGGTTGGTCTATCACACAAAAATCTAATTAAAGACTATAAATGCAGGTCGAAGACATAACCTGATCACTGAGCAAAACCCCATCTTTAAATCTCAGAGTTACAAAAGAAAAACAATAAAGTCAGGCTTTATTATCCCACTCCAAGCCTCAAGGCAAATGGAAAACATTAAAAATACTGTAGCTGCGTATATGAAATTGCATATGCAAAAATAGACTTAAACTATACTTTTTTTTGTGAAAAACAATAAATAAAGCAACACTGTACATACATATACACCATTTCTTACATATTTAACCACATTACATTACATCCACTCATGTCAGAAGTTGCATTCCATCCTAGTTTAAAATGTGAAAAAAACAGCAGAGAACTTTAAGAGGACATATATTCACCAATAGACACACATACTGGCTATTTTAATATGCGAAACAACAGCAATATATTCTTTTACATACATTATTTTTAAATTGCATGGACGCTGTATATGTTGACCATTATGCCTTCAGTTGAAATATATACACATTTACAAACTTCTTTCACAATATTCAAAGCTTATCGGGTGCTGTATTTTATACCCACCCTTTTAACACGTCAGTGTATTCTCATTATCAGTTCGAACGACATCGTACGAAAAGTTATGCACAGTAATTTCGCACATTTTAGACGTTCAATATCCTTGTGCATGCACATCTTACGCACCATTCAATAACATAGAATTTAACATACAATTAACCCTAACCCTAAGATACAAAACAGCAAACAACGTAGTTCGAGACATGAAGAAGTAATTAATACACTGTTTTTCCCAGTTTTACGTCCGTCCGCGGATCTGCTTTTTTCGTCTGTCTGCCTGCGCATGCGCACTGATCTGTATTTTCCTGGAAAAACGTCCAAAACGTGCGAAATACTGTACATTACTTTTCGTCCGATTTTATACGAACTGATAATGAGAATATGTTGAACACGTAGTAAACACTCACAAGAACTTGGCAAAAAACAAGTGTTTGTTCTTTTTGGTGAGGGGTAATAAAACATCTACGAATTAGAGCGATCTAAACATATACAAGTTGACAACACTTCTTATGGGGATTGTCAAAAATCCATTCTTTTGTTCCACTTCCAAGTTTAACATTGACACTATAAATGATTTGTGGGATTGTAAAATCAAACACTGTGATTCATAAACTCAATTTTAACAGTGAGCGAAAATGTAACCAAAGAAAGAAACAGTTACGGTACACTGAAAACTATATGATGATATTTTATGAAGTCAGAATTCAGCCGAAAGTGCACATTCACAATAAATACATACATTAGTAAGTTCTATTCAAAACATATGCAAGGCAATTACATTGCATTTGCACCTTTTATTTTAGATTCAATACTATGACCCCCCCCTCTCCCCCCACCCCCCATAGTCACAGCATGAATTTAATGTCACAGCATTAAATGCATGCTCCTTGGGTGGCAATAATCACACAGTGTTTATATCTTATCTCTTCCTTTGTCACAGTTTTGTTCTTCTAAAATGCTGCCACACATATGATTTCAAAGACCTTGAGGCTTCTTCAATTCTTTTACAATGGAGTGTTTTTGGCTAGAAACAGAAGGGAGGAAATGAATCAGCTACTTCTTTATATTAATCTAAAACACTAAGATATATATCGGTCGGCTCTAAGTCTCACCTGAATCTGGGGTTCGTAACATCAGCTTACCTTTACCTTGCCAGATAAAGTCATTCTGATATCGAATGGATGGCATTTCATAGGTTTTACATTTACAGGAAGCAGAAAGTATTATACCTCTTTAAATTACAACCATAGAAAAGATATAGTGGGATTTCATGCAACACACTACCACATTACTGTGCATAATTGACAAGCAGATGAAAGACTCCTCTTTAGAGGAGAACATTACTTAACACACAACATCTCAAAGACCAAGCAACATAGCTGCCAGGTAAGGGTTAGATTAATGGACATGTTAAGCTGGTTCAGGTTATAACACAATATCTTAATATCCCAGTTTCCATAAACCTGGAATATGGTCGAAGCTAACAGGTGCGTGGCTGAAGGACCAAACATTTGTAAGTTGTTAAAGACTTGAGTGAAGGTTCATCTTCCAATAGGGCAATTACCTCAAACAAAGAGCTGGTTCTACAGGGGACGGGTTTAGATCAAAGCATATATATGCGTTTAAATGGCCTAGTCAAAGTCCAGACCGGAATAGGGCAAAACTCAAAATTTAATGTGTATAGATGTTCTCTATCTAATCTGACTAAGCTTGGGTTGCAGCCAATGGAAACGGATTTAGGAACATCCTTGTATTTCCAAAGCACAATTGCATGCTCAGAGGTATAAAATCCAACTAAACTGAACTGAATTGAACTTCTTTGGCTCTAATATGAGAATGCTGGAAAAAACTTGAAAAGTGTTTAAAAGGTATAAATACTTTAGTAAGGTGCTGTGTGGTAAATGCAATACAGTTCGGTGCACCGGAGACGGTACTCAAACATTACATTTAGTATTTGGCAAGTCTTTCTGGGACCTCCCAGAAACTTTTAGAAAACAAGACTCAGAGTAACTTTTAAAGCACCGGAAGAGGATTAACACAGGAAACACACGTCTTAATCTAGTTCTGGAGGAGTTGCAATCATTAAAACAGAGTGATATTTCCCCTGTTGCTGGGAAATATCCTGGAGTATTTCCGTACTTGCTTGTAAGCCATGACCTTGTGGCCAGTGCCATTCTCCTTGCCGTCTTTTCTCAGGCTTTTCAGGAAAAACGTTCTGTCAGGCTTGTTTTCCCTTCTTTAAAAACAGTTTAAAGATAATGATGGTATCCGAGAGATAAGTAGCCTCAAACCAGTGAGCGAAGGGTAGAATAGAGCGAGGTCATGAGTTTAGTCATCAACGATTAGTTAGATCCAAGAGCCTTAGGGACTGCTCTGGCCGTTCTTCTGTAGCTTCAACGACAGGATTCATGTTGATATATACTGGATTCTGAAGAAAACGATAAAAAGAAAAAAAGCATATTTACTATTTACAAACGGAATAAGAAAGAGAATGTTCAGACTTTATCAAAAGACAAAATCAAAACAAAGTTGGGTATAAACTATAAAGCAGAAGGAAAAGGATTCAGCCTTCCATCCATTATCTATACCCCTCTATATTTGTGCCAGAAGCCATGGGGTACAGAGTTTTCAAGATTGTTACCTATAGAAGCAAATCCTTTGTAAACCTAACAATGGCTTTGAACTTCATATTTTTACAGTTCATCATTAATAGTTGGGTTCTTTTATCATTTGCTTCTTTTTATCCCCTATTTCTGTCATCCTTTCTACTTTTTTTGCTTTTCCTTTCCTGTTCTACTTACATTGGAGTTTCCATATAATCTGTAATACTCCTTGCATGAATTATAATAAAAATATTTATATGCATAAATCAAGCGGAACACTATGGCAATAGCCGTACTGCTCCACTTGTGAAAGCAAGCAAGAGTAAATCTGTATATGCAAAATTCTACACCAGATGTATTAGTTTAAATATGAATTTCACTTAAACTGTTATTGGAAATGTGAAAATGAATAATTACTATATAATCTTTATAACTTTATTAATTCACTTTATTTAACAATTTGAAACTGAATTAATGTAATTCGAAACTGTATTTTATTTAATTGACAATTCGGTTTGACTAAGATCACTTTCAGTTTAACAATAAAAATTTTATTTTAAAATTCAGATTCATTTTCATGCCACAAATCCAGGTCCTTTAGGTAGACCAGAGTAATCAATCACAGACTGATAATTTGCATATAGCAAAGCTAGACAGATGCATTTAAACCTGGCGAAGTGGAGATCACAGGAGCTTAGCAGAAGCACTGCATCAAGTCAGGTTTGTATTAAATTTATTAGATGCATTACAGATGTCAGCAGTTCTGCTGCTTGTTGATATTAGCTTAAAGGAATAGTACACCCAAAACATGATTAGCCTTCATTTTCTACTCACCCCCATGCTGAACAACACTCTGGAGTACTTTTTTGATATCTCAAATGCATCTGGAGATCTGGGAGGCTTCTTGCTGTCTGCTGACATTCAAATAATGGAGGTCTATGGTGCCCGAGGCAGAAAGGTCCATAAAAGTCCACAAAAAACGTGTCAATATTCCTCCATACTGCTCGTCCAATGTATTCTAAGTGTCCTGAGTGGGTAGCATCCAGAATTTACTCGAAACAAAGTCATTTAGAATGTTTTTAGAGCATAAACAGTAGTGTATAGGATTTCCTGAAAGCGCGCACCTGCGCGTTCACGATGCTACGGAAGCCGGCAGACCAAACCAGATGAAAGTGCGCATTCAGCGTCTGCTCTGCCAATAATGCAAGCGTAGAAGAAAAAATGTGCTGTTTACCTGTGCAAAGAAAGAAACAATGAAAGAAAAATGTCTGAGGACTTCAGTGTTGAGGAAGAGCATGAGTTCTTTGCCGAGCTGAATGCGCACTTTCATCTAGTTTGGTCTGCCGCGGTTTCCGTAGGCTCATGAACGCGCTTTCAGGAAATCCTATATACTACTGTTTATGCTCTAAAAACATTCTAAATGACTTCATTTCGAGTAAATTCTGGATGCTACCCGCTCAGGACACTTGGAATACATTGGACGAGCAGTATGGAGGAATATTGACACGTTTTTTGTGGACTTTTATGGACCTTTCTGTCTCGGGCGCTGGGCACCTCCATTATTTGAATGTCAGCAGACAGCAAGAAGCCTCCCAGATCTCCAGATGCATTTGAGATATCAAAAAAGTACTCCAGAAAGTTGTTCAGCATGGGGGTGAGTAGAAAATGAAGGCTAATCATGTTTTGGGTGTACTATTCCTTTAAGACACCAGATTAGCATGGTGTGCCACAGATCTTGTATTGTCAGTTTTTGACACTACCCGATCCGTCCCGGAAGCACGATCCGTCCTACGCATGCACAAAGATATACATCCAGGTGTCCATAAATAATGTAATTATGGTACTAAAACAACCTATTTCTATCATTAACTCACTAAATAATGCTAATACACATCTGTAAAAAATGTCTATGACTTTGTGAGACAATTTTTCCTTAAACTGCTTCTCTGACATCATCATCACACTGCTCAGAGCAGTCCGGCAAAATATGATTAAACCATTTATCACCGTTTATCTGCATTTTAGTTGCTTCTTTCTTCAGAGGATGAGGTTAAAACGAAATGAAACGAAATAATAAAACTCAAAAAGATTAGATTTATGTTTAAATCCAAAGCTGAAAAAGTTAGCCACCGGAAGTAGCGTAGGATCTAATTTCCGGTGCAGATGGGCAGAGACGACTGATAAAACATAAAGGATTTAAATGCATTTACTCTCTATTTTATTAACATGTATTTTAGTATGTTTACTATTATTGGGGAGGGAAAATCTCATTTAGGTATTTTTAACTAAATAAAATCTAGGACGACCTGGAGGTATATCTGGATGCGCATGCAGAAGCGAAACGGATCGTGCTTCTGGGACGGATCAGGTAGAGACAGGTTTATCCCCATGCCTGCACACTGTAATAGTCTTGGCAAACTCGTTCCCAGTGTCACTCTACAGTAGCAGCAACTGACAAATAAATTATTGGATCAACAACCTCGATCTGCTTGTATAGACAGTGGCATGCAGGGATATTGTTTATATGAGGCTCCTTATGAATGCAAAAAATGAATACAAACCAGTTTTGCTGCTAGTTAATTCACATGATATGAATCTGTGTTTGATTACTCTGGTTTTCTTTCAGGACACAGATGTATTGAACAAATAACTGAAAGTAAAGACTTGTCAAACTAAGTTTTGAATGCAATAAATACCGTTTTGAAGCAAATTGTTTAAGTCTTAAACTTCACATTTTTGAATACAGTTTCCATTAAGTGAAATTACCTTTCAAACCAATATATCTGATTACAACCTTAAATGTTAATTCTGAGCAATTTAAATTCAGTTTTAATGGCCCATACAAATTCCACAATTATTTAAAAAGTTTTCTGGCTCTTTCACATTTCTATGAACTATGTTGAAGTTTGTGAAATGCAATAGCATGCTTGAAAACGTTCAAATACGATAAAGAACTGCACAAATACAAGGGAACATGCAGAGACCAACACAGAAAAAAAATTAAGCCAGAAGATCAATAAAAAAAAGGACTTTTCCCCCATCTGGTCAAACATGCTTGTTTAGCATTAAATATATCCAGATGTTCACATTTACTGCAAAAACATGCTCTTAAAGCAGTGCAATGGTTAAAAAAACAACTAAATCTAACTCCTCACATACTATCCTCTTCTTTATTTGTCTATTCAAGTGTTCACAAGGTAACAGTATATTGAGCCGCACGGGAGGCTCCATTCTACACACTGATAATTGATACAGTTGATACAGCTGCATTTGATACAGTTGACCATAATATTCTTTTAGAAAGACTTTAATATTTTGTTGGAATTAAAGGAACAGCACTAGACTGGTTTAAATCTTATCTATCTGATCGAATTCAGTTTGTTCATGTTAATGATAGATCTTCAACACGCTCAAAGGTTACCTGTGGAGTACCACAGGGATCAGTGCTAGGACCAATTCTCTTTACTTTATACATGCTCCCAATTGGTAGAGTTATTAGACAGCATGGGATTAATTTCCACTGTTACGCTGATGATACCCAGCTATATCTGTCTATAAATCCAGATGAAACTAACCCATTACATAGATTACAGGCATGTCTTGAAGACATAAAAACCTGGATGACTCTTAACTTTCTGCTCCTGAATGCAGACAAAACAGAAGTTATAGTCTTTGGACCAGAGTCTCTGAAAAAGAAACTGATTAGCCAGTCACTTCATTTGGATGGGATTAAACTGATTTCAGATAATAAAGTAAAAAATCTTGGTGTTATTTTTGATCAGGACCTGTCATTTAAATCCCATATCAAAGATGTTTCTAGAATTTCCTTCTTTCATCTGAGGAACATTACAAAAATTAGAAATATCCTGTCCAGGGGTGATGCTGAGAAACTAGTCCATGCATTTGTTACTTCAAGGCTGGACTATTGTAATTCTTTACTATCAGGAAGTCCACAAACTGTAGTTAAAAGCCTTCAGCTGATCCAAAATGCTGCAGCCAGAGTTCTAATGAAAATTAAAAAGAGAGATCATATCTCTCCTATCCTGGCTTCTCTTCATTGGCTTCCTGTTAAATCAAGAATAGAATTTAAAATCCTCCTTCTCACATATAAAGCCTTAAATGGCCAAGCTCCATCTTATATCAGAGATCTGATTGTTCCTTATGTTCCTAACAGAGCACTTCGCTCTCAATCTGCAGGTTTACTAATGGTTCCTAGAATTTCTAAAAGTAGAATGGGAGGCAGATCTTTTAGTTATCAGGCTCCTCTCCTGTGGAACCAACTACCAGTTTTAGTCCGTGAGGCAGACACCCTGTCTACTTTTAAGGCTAGGCTTAAAACTTTCCTTTTTGATAAAGCTTATAGTTAGGGTGGCTCAGGTTATCCTGAGCTATCTCTATAGTTATGCTGCTATAGGCTTAGACTTTTGGAGGACATAGGGACCCCCATTTCATCATTCTGCTTCATTCTCTCTCTGTTCTCCTATTCTGCAGAATCTGTTAGTTCAATCTCTAACCTTCTGCTCTCTCTGCTTTTCCTCAGAGTAGCTTTGCCTCGTCTGTTCCTGTTTGGCTGTGACGTCATCCTGGAAAGAAACATCAGCTGTGTTGCTTCTATCAACACCCTTGTTAATAGATGTTGGAGATCGGCCTGTTTTCCAGTGTGGTCCTGTTTCTCTGACCGTGACTGAGTGGATGTGCTCTCTTCATCCTCTGGCATGGGAGCTGCCTTGGAGCTGTCTGCCTGGCTGTGTGTTTCCTGGACGGGGCCGCCTTTTACAGCTGCTTTTTGTATCTCTGCTTCTGTCTCCTTGAACCCCAGTCGGCC